TAAAATTACCATAAAGATGTGAGTTTATGCTTGACTAACTTTGGTTTAGTGGTTTAGGACTATGGTTTAGTCCTTATAAATCAACAGCACTATCCTAAAACCTATTTGATATTTATATTTGGAAACCTATTTGAAAGGGATCCATGGCAAATTAGTTTTCTGGATTGGAGTACAAATTGATGTTGGATTTAGAGTCACATTTAAAAGTGGCCCGAATTGGATGTGTAAAAATTTGATAATTAAAAATCTGGGGTCGTTAAGATTTTTTAAAAATGTTTTTGAAATACGTCTCTTCTGCTCACCAAGGCTGCATTCATTTAATTAGAGATGCAGTAAAACCGTAATATTGTGAAATATTATTACAATTAAAAATAATAATAATAATAATAAAAAAATTATATAAAATGCAATTTATTTCTGTGATCAAAGCTGTATTTTCAGCATCATTACTCCAGTCTTCAGTGTCACATGATCCTTCAGAAATCATTCTAATATGCTGATTTGCTGCTCAAGAAACATTTATTATTATTATTATCAATGTTAAAAACAGTTATGCTGCTTCATATTTTTGTGGAAATGGTGATACGTTTTACAATTTTTACAATTATTTGATGAATAGAGAGTTCAAAAGAACAGCATTTATTTGAAATCGAAACCTTTTGTAACATTATAAATGTCTTTACTCTCACTTTTGATCAATTTAATGCATCCCTGCTAAATAAAAGTATTTATTTTTCCAATTTAGAAAATAAATATTTATTTTTCCATGCAAGCAACCAGTTTTGGTTGACAGTATAAATGCAGCTTGATTGAGGACTTGGCTGAAAAGACTCCAACGTCCAGCCCACACGAGCTTCGCCTACTCGTCCCCGCAAAGAGTCTTGCTCTGCAAACACATGGTCACGACTCATAATGCATCCTATGACAAACAAATTATAAGCATAATAGGTGAAGCCCACTTCCCTTTTCAGTTCGGAGCCATGGAGAAACTCCTGTGCCATTGTTCCCGACTCCAGGTGCCTCTGCCAACCACGTGAACACGCTGCCAATCCAAACACATTCAGCCTCAGAGAAAGACAGGCAGAGCTAATGACTGTGTTGAGGCCTGAACCGATAAGTCACATCAAGATTCTCAGTGCTGGCAATAAACCGTGGAAAATCCTTGTTTCCGTACACTGTGAAATAACTATTATCAGCGTGCAACTGTGTGAAAGGTTCTTGATGTTGTGCTTTTGCATGCTTATATTAACGGTAAAAAAAGAGGTTGTATCTATAAATTCATCCCTTTTTTCAAGAACAGCATTGCTTTTTGCATTTTGATGTTGGTCTATATATATATATATATATATATATATATATGAATTATCTTTCTGTAATTTTAGTTTCATATTTAGTAATTTTATGTGCCTTTGTCATCATTATTTTATTTATTATTTATTTTTAAATAGTTTTTTTTTTTCAGTACTAAAAATTCTTAATACAACTTGATGCTTAATACGAAATACTTTAAAACTTATTTAATTTGGTTGCCATGACAAGATATGTAATATTTATATTTAAATTTTATTGCAGCTTTATTTCAGTTAACTAAACAAAAATAGTTGTAGTTACCATTAACAACAATTTTGAATGCTATGTTGCAACAATCTACTGACTATTGCTTTTTGCATTATGATGATGGTCAATGTTCAACCAGTGTTATTTTACTATCATTTAAATACTATTTTTTGTATTAGCTATTTATTGAGTTAGCTTTTACTTTTATATTTTCATTACTAATCCACTAATTTGATGTGTTTGACAGTTTTATTTTTTATTTCAGTTTTATTTTTATTTTAGTTAGTCATTTTAGTACTTAAAATACTATAAATCATTTTTACAACTTAAACATATTTCAGTTGGCTGCCAAGGCATTTTTATTTAGTTTAGGTTTTTCAGTTAATATTTATATTTAAATTGTATTGCAGCTTTTTTTACGTTCACAGAAGTGTTTTTTAAATAGTTTTAGTTAACGTTAACAACGCTGATGTCCGCATGCAATTCGGCTGTTGTGTTGCGCCTGTGTTGCGAATCCACTGACATATTGCACATTCCTAATCTGCTTTTCTTTTTTCAGTTTTTATGTACAGTCATATCTTAACTCCCTTTCCCATTCCTGTGCATAAAAGTCTCTATTTTGCCATTTTTCTTTGTTCATTGTGAAGCAATGTGTTTATTTTCCCATTTGGAGGTCAAGTCATACAAAATTTCAGCAATATCTGCATCTGTCCACATGGGAAAGATGGACCCTTATAAATCATGCACACTTATTCCCTTCTTCATTTATTCAGTTTAGTTTGATCAGATGAAGCACGTTTACGATCATGCCACGATCACTGCACGTGTTTATTTGGTCTCAGAACACGCAACAATGACACACACACGGTGCGGCCCGGTCTCACTATGAAAACAGGACTAGTCATAACAGGAGGGGGTTTCTGTAAAGCGCAGCAGGAGCCCCTCTCCCATTGAAACGCTTCCCCACTGAGATTACATGAAAGCGCTGAGAATGACAGGAAGAGGTTGCTGGTGGCGTTCTGGGCGTCACTATGTAATGGCATTGTGAATGTGCTTCTTAGAAAAACAGCTTTGAAGTTAGAAAAATAAATCCTAATGTCTGATCCTCCACAGGTGCTTTGGAAATGCGGCTTTTTTCTGTAGTTTTGGCATAAGCAAGGCTACTTTTCAACCTCATATTCACTTTATCAGTTTGTTCTGACACACTGAACTGGAAATATCTCCCACATCGCTTTGCATCATGGTCTGCACAGGTTGAGTTTGGTGGAAATCATGAAGGATGTGTTCAGGTCACGGGGTAAGTGGGGTGAGGTTTTCAGCTCTCTGCCCAAGATCTGTTTCGGGCCTGATCGTATCCGTTATCTGCCGCTGACTGGCACCAAACTCGCTAAGTGTGGATCCAGTAGTTGGTTTACATTGCGTGATTCACACGATTCCTGTTTTTAGCATCAAAGAGTTTCCTCAGAGCTCTCTGAGAACGTTCCAAATGACAGCGTGCTGAGAGAGCTTGGGAAGTTCAAAACATAAACTAGGACTAGTTTCTAATATTTTGGAAGAACATTCAGTGCAATTTCAAAACTCAAGTGGAATGGTACAGGCATCATAAGTCATTGTAGAATTACCTTGTTTTAAAAAATTAGAGCAATTTCATAAGTTACTACAGACTAAAGTGTGTGTGTGTGTGTGTATAAACTTATGGTATAAACACCCAGACAACACACACGTATATTATTAGAATATTTGATAAATTCATAATTTATTTTAATGATAATTTAGTTTTTAATATTGTATTCTTTCAATAATAATTTTTAATTTGTGTTGTATAATTAACTTAATTAACCTATTACATACTTATTTTTTTATTAATACACACACACACACACACACACATATATGAATAATTGATTGTAACATTTAAGCCAAGCAATATATTTATGTATTTATAAATGATTTAATGGAATTAATTTATATATATATATATATATATATATATATATATATATATATATATAT